GATTTCTTAAGCAAATCCACTGGGCTTTCAACACGAAGCCAGAAAATCGGGACTTTTTTAAAACAGCCCGGGACACGGGACAAATTGTTATAAAGTGTGATTGTCCCGCTGAAATCGGGTCATCTGGTCACCTTACTGTGATATCTTGTGACAAACCAAGTTCTACAAGAAGTGCTTGATTTACAGCTATTCATTTACTTGTTCAAGTTACAACAGCATTGAAAAAATGACTTACAATCAGTCCTCACACTTACAACTATCACAGCATCCCATAGTCTGAACAAAGTTCAGGCCCTTGTGCTGCATTTTTATGACAAGTGTTTACAACAATATACTTACTTATCTTCTCTGAAATAAATGTGTTTCAAATAAGGATATCTATATATTTTAGCTAAATAATATTTTAAGAAACTACCACATGATCTGCATTGTTCCAATACATTTTTATCTACAGCAAAGTATCTTTCTAATGAATTAAAGATTTATATTAGTACAATTTGAAATTTCCAATAAAGTATTAAATAGCAATAGCACTTAGACTTACATACCACTTCACAGTGCTTTACAGTCCTCTTTAAGTGGCTTACAGAGTCAGCATATTGTCCCCAACAATTGGGTCCTCATTTTACCAACCTTGGAAGGATGGAAAGCTGAGTCAACTTTGAGCCAGTGGGAATCGAACTGCCAAATTGCTGGCAGTCAGCAGTCAGAAGAATTAGCCAGCAGTACTGCATTCTAACCACTACGCCACCACAGCTATAAATGTTTAAAACTGTGCAATATGTATGTTTTCTTCTATTCAATGCAGTGGTTGGGTTCAATTTATCTTACTACTGGTTCGCTTGTGTGTATGCACAAGCACAACGCTTGTGCATGTGCGCGACGCTCACGTCTACTGCACTCTAACCACTATGCCACTGTGGCTCATTTTAAAATATGTTTGGTTCCTATCTGATGTATTTTGTTGGGTGGTATTTTTATCCTACTGGTTTAGAAACATTTTGGCTCTTGTTCCTCCTTTGCTGGTCCTTACTATAGAGGTGAGTTTCAGGGGTACAGTCCGGTAATGCACGAACCAGATCCAGAATTCTGGCATGTATTTGTGTACTGGGTTCTCTGGAGACCCCATCCAGAAACGGTCCTTCCCCTGGCCTGCCCCCTCCCCTGTTTATTCCCTCCACCCGCCTGGTCGCTGCTCACTCACTCTCTCACCCTGCCTGTCTGCACCATGCTTGCCCCGGGGCTGCAGCCGGCAGCTGAAGGGGCATTGGTGGCAAGCAGTAAGTGAAGTGAGTTTCGGCCAGGATCCTTGCCTAAAAGCAAAAGCTGTTTGGAAGCTGTGGCTGCCCTCTCTTCCTCCCTTTTGCAGAAACTCCTCTTGCTGCAGAATTGGGACCACTCCATTTTTCCTGACTTTCAGCTTCTCTTGTCTGATTAACTTCTACTGTCCCACCTCCTCCCCCTGCACAGTCTCAGTTGCTGCTTGGAGGGGGGAAGATTTCTGGTTTTCCAGAGAAAAAGGGGAAGGAGGAACAGGTCCTCCATGCTGCCCACCCCTTGGCGTTTTTGCAACCAAATTCTCTCCCCTCCCCCCCACAAACAGAGGACCTCTTCACCCGAATACTGTGGGGCAGAACAGGCTGGCCCATAACTGGGCAATATGTGGGAGGAGAGGCTGCAGCAGCTCCACTCTGAATTGAGGGAGAGGGAAAAAATTTGGGATTCTCCAAACTGCAGCAGCCCTTAACCTTGATACCTAAAATATGGATACATTCATTCACCAAGATAACCATTGATTGATAACCCAACCTTCTTCTAATCTTCTTGATGAGGGAAAAAATTGAGATAACCAAAATTGTGGATTTATTCCTTTCTC